CCAAGCCAGCTCTTAACCAACGTGCCACTTGGCCGGCCCCATTGTTTTCTTTAAAATGCTGCCATATTTGCAGTGTTGGTTTAATCACAGAATTGAGCAAAATTCATGGTTTCAAAAGATATAATAGAAGAGTATGGCAAGCTAGTATTCAGAAAGCCCTTTGGCTACAAAACAACCTAGAAATGCTGGGTAAAACTTAAATATCCTTTAATAAGACTTTCAAGAAAGTGACATAAATCCCAAGAGCCTAAAACGAAGAGTAAGGCGAGTTCAGAAAGGTAAGTGGGTGATGATGCTTTGGGTGCCATGAGGCAGCTTGGTGATCTTGGTGCACAGGACTTAGATTTGATCAGCTACAAGGGAATGATTTTATTTTTACCCGCTCTAGAAATGTAAGGCCCATGAAAGCAGAGACTTTACCTCTTCACGTATGTCCCCAGTGTCTAGAACAGTGTCTAGCACATGGTTAGTACTCAGTCAATAGTTGTTGAATGAATATAGGGTGAAATGTTCAAGCGAGTGTTTAATGAAAGCCAGGAGAAAAAATATAAAAATAAACAATAACAACTCATTGATTCAACAGACCTTCATCTAGCACCTAACATGGCTCCAGCTTTGCGCTAGGTGCTAAGTATTCATGGTATTCATACAGACATGGCCCTTGCCTCTTTCCAGTCTCAGTCCCATATAAGGGGTGACAATTCCAGAAGTCCAAACCCAAGAGATTGAGGAGCAAAAAGAGAATCAGTGTTCAAGTTTCCTTTATATAGACCTAACTTGACCCAGAGTGATGGACAACTGGAATGACCACCTCCTTCCTGGGTGACAGTGCCCCCCATCTGTACATGACCCTGCAGCTTCAGCTTAATACTGTTTAATGGCAGAGCTCCATTATCTCATCATTTGAGCGAGATACAAAGACAGACTTCACAAAGGGGTCCTTTTTAAGCCATTGCTATTATTTATAGTGAGAACTGTTCAAGAATAGATGGGAAAAGTCACCCACGAGGTCATTCAAACTTGTGAGCAATTTCTCCGAATCAACCTCGATTGAAATGCAAATTAAACCCAGCCGGTCCAATTCCTTCTGGAGGCAACAAGCGTCCAGAGGGTCTGGGCAAAGTGATTCATCTCTTCATCCTTCCGGTCTGGAATTCATTCGCAACCCCACCCCCACCCCCACTCTCCCTCGCTGCGGGGCACGAATACCCAAGAGTCCACGAGCTCCACAGCTCCTCGCCTCCGCTGGGAAAACCAAGGAACCATAGAGACGTGGCCTCCTAGAGAGCCAAGGATGGGGCGTGGGGTGAGGAGCCGGAAGTCGCGGTACCTGCAGGTCAGCCATTATTCTGGGCCTCGGCTGCCGTAGTGTCCTGTGCCCGTGTCATCTCCTGGCGTCCGGGCGCCAAGGCGACGGTACCCAAAGCCGGAGCCGCCGCGGGACCCCCCGGTGAGCGGGGTGGGACTCGGGTCGGGTGGGCATGCGCGAAGAGCGGCCGGGGGTGCGGGTTTGCGCTCGCTTGGGCGGCGCACCCCTCGCCGGCCCCTCCCCTCCGCTGACCCCTAGCACTATCCCTCCTCAGCTCCGGGTTGCGGTGATCGCCGTGGCCTCCACCCAGGCAAGCTGCGGGCTTGGGGGAGGTATGGAAAACAGCACCTCTGAGTCTGTGTCCGTGGACCGGTGCTCGAGGCAAACAGGATGAGGATGTACTTGCCCCTGGAGAACAGCTGCCTCGGTGGCCGAGGTGGTTCCGCTCTTCCTCGTCTCTGAGGCTGATGCGGAGAGAAACAGCTGGAGACTTCCCTGGAGCAGTGGCACCCATGCTTCTGGGGAGTTGTTGTTTTTTTTTTTCTTGAGGAATGGACCAGTTTCCATCTTTAAATTTTGTAGTAGAATGGTAGTTAAAAAGCAAACTCACTACCTGTGCCACCATGACTTCAGAGAATGTGTTTTAACACTAAGTGCTGAAACCCCCAAAACTCAGAATAAACGCTGTCCTTTGCAAGAGAGGTCATTGCCAACCAGTCAGTGACTATGCGTAGTTATTGATTTGTTTTCGTTTTACAGTTTGCCAGATTAAAACCTGATAATGAACTATCGTCTGGAAATCATTGTTTTGGAATAGTTGTTGGGGTTTCAGAAGTCTTAGATGGAATTATTTTGGACTTTTGGAGTGAGAATCCTTGAGTTCAGAATGTGCTCTCAGAACTTAACTATTATAGTTGAGAGGCCTTGGGTGAGTCACTTAGCTCCTCTCAGCCTTCTTTTGTTCTTTTTAACTTATGGCTCACAAACCTTTTGTGAGAAGCAAACAAAATGTGTGTTTAAGGATTTGTTATTTGTATCCGCAAAATAAGAGGCAACAGACTTCTGATAATTTACTGTAGAAAATTTAGAAAGCCTTTTTTCCAGGTTGAGTGTATTTATTTATTTACTTATTTATTAATTTATTTTATAATAATAGGCTTTTTAGAGCAGTTTTAGGTCCATAGAAAAAGTACAGTGATTTCCCCTATTTTCCCTGTCCCCACTAATGCACAGCTCTCCCACTATTAACATTCCCCACCAGAGTGGTATGCATTTGTCACAATTGATGAACCTGTATTGACACATTATTTTCCAAAGTCCATAGGCTACATTAGGGTTCACTCTTTGTGTTGTACATTTTATGGGTTTGGACAAGTATTTATTGTGTGTGTGTGTGTGTGTGTGTGTGTGTGTGTGTGTGTATATATATATAAATAAAATGGTGGACAAATCCACCATTATGGTCTCATACAGAGTAGATTCAGTGCCCTAAAAATCTTCTGTGCTCTGCCTATTCATTCCTCCTTCCCCCAGCCCCTGGCAACCACTCATCTTTTTACTGTCTCCAAAGTTTTGCCTTTTTTTTTTTTTCTTTTTTTTTTTTTTTTTAGCTGAGCCATCCTGCCACCTTTTGGCAGCTCAGCGGCAGCTCAGCTCAGGCCAGGCATCAAACCGCTGTTGCTCAGAGCTCAAACTCTTGAGCGAGCTCTTAACCAACTGAGCCACTTGGCCGGCCCTTAGTTTTGCCTTTTTGAGAATGCTATATGTTAGAATTGCGCAGTATGTAGTCTTTTGAGATTGGCTTCTTTCACTTAGTATTATGCATTTAAGTTTCCTTGATGAGTTTTCATGGCTCAATAGCTTGTTTCTTTTTAGCTGTGGATAATAGTCTATTGTCTAGATCAGGGGTCGGCAAACTTTTGAGACGGAAGAGCCAATCGTGTCCCTCACAACAATTTAAAAATTATTTGAGAGCCATAAATTAATTTTTACAAATAAGGAAAAATTAAAGTAATATTATAACAAGTAATAGTATATCTTTATTAAAATAAGAAAAATTCACACATGTACATACCCAAAGAGCATGTGGCTTGTGAGCCGCAGTTTGCCAACCCCTGGTCTAGATGTACCACAGCTCATTCACCTACTGAAGGGCATCTGGTGCTGACAATTATGAATAAAGCTATTGTAAATATCTGTGTGCAGGATTTTGTGTGGACATGTTTTCAACTCCTTTGAGTAAATACCAAGGGGGCACATTTGCAAGATCATATGGTAAGAGTATGTTTAGTTTTATAAGGAACTGCCTAATTGTCTTTTAAAGTGGCTGTTCCTTATCACATTCCCATCAGCAATGATTGAGAGTTCCTGTTGCTCCACATCCTCACCAGCATTTAGTGTTGTCAGTGTTCTGGATTTAGGCCGTTGTAATAAGTGTGTAGTGGCATCTCATTGTTTTAATTTGTATTTCCCTGATAACATATGATGTGGAGCATATTTTCATGCACTTATTTGGAATCTGTATATCTTTGATGAGGTGTCAGTTAAGGTCATAGGGCAATTGTTTAATTGAGTTGCTTTCTTATTGTTGAGTTCTAAAGAGTTCTTTGTATGAAATATGCAAAAGGTAACAGTCCTTTGTCAGATATGAGTGTCTTTTGCAAATATTTTCTCCCAGCCTGTGGCTTGTCTTCTCATTCTCTTGACTTACGTTTTGCAGAGCAGAGGTTTTTTGTTTTAGTGGAGCCCAGCTTATGAATTGTTCGTTTTACGTATCAGTGCTGGAGTTGGGTAAATGCATTCACAAAAAGAGGACGGAGCTATGTGCTGAGAAGAAAGATCTCAAAGATACATGATTAATTTAGAAAAGGAAGATGTAGCACGTGATTCATGGTGTTCTATCGTTCCTGAGAAACGAGAAGTACAAAACGATACCTGTACATACATAAGTAGCTGGAAAAATACATAAACTAAAGAGGAGAGGGAAGCTTCACACACTATGCATTTTATCATTTAAAATTTTGAACCAAGTGAATGTATTACCTATTTTTTTAAAAAACAGAAAAATGTTAGGTAGAACCAAAAACTTGGCCACAATCTTTACATTCATAGAGATTCATAGAAGATTCAGCTTGTCACTTAGAGGACATGATTACCTTCTTGTGTTGCCTCTCAACAGCTTTTAGAATTTGATTTCTGTTTATCTCTCCAGTCTACTACAACTTACCTCCAAAGTTTACTTCCCTTCTCTGATTTGCAAAGCACATTTCTAACAGAGCTATATGTGCTGGCACGCCCTTGCTTTTGAAATTATAGTTTCTTTCTTCCAGGAATGGCTTTCCTAATACTCCAATGGTCTTTTTATTCTTCCTTTAAAGCCCCAATCCAAAATTACCTGCATGAATTCTTTCTGTGCTTGTATGTCCTCCTACTAAATATATTTACACATTATGTTGAAATTGTGTTTATATTTCTGCCTCCTCTGCTCCATTATAAGCATGAATCTTAAGGGTCCAGGTGTTCAATAAAATTAATTGAGGGTGCTTTCATTTGTCACTGATATAACTGTTATAATCTTAAAAGTTTAAAACTATTTATACCTTTTGTGGCCCAACAGTGTTTTTCTGGGAATTTTACTGAGGAAATAAACAGATATGTAACCAAAAATGACTAGTGAGGATATAGTCATTGTGGCCTAATTTATAATAGGGGAAAATTATAATTCTAAATGTCTAATAACAAGGGACTACTTTAGTATGAATGCATTCATACACCCTTAAAAATAATGATGAATATTTAATATTTGCAACAAGTGTGAAAAGCACATTCCAGAACAGTACAGTTGGATCCAATCTTGCCGTCCAAATTGGTGCAAGGCCTGGACGAACATAGCACAGAACAGTAGTAGTGTTTATTCACTGGTTTTCTGGTTTTGCAAATTTTCTGTTTTGTAATAAGAAAATTAAATGTTATTTCCAAAAAAACCAGAAGATTTCTAGAGAACAACAAGTCTAAGTTCTGTATAATAAAATCTTACTCAATTTATCCAAATATTTTGATTAACAGAATGAACGATTTTCCGAGAATTTAAAGTATACACAGTAAAGCTACACAGAACTTAGTTCAGCCTTTCTTTGTTAATTGAGAAGGTGTTAGGATTTTATCGCATCTGTATCAGGATTAAGTCCATGATTACTTGTTGACTTTACAGAACATAGGAAGGAATGCAGGTTACAGAAGGATAAAATTAACATTTGAATCCATATACCAGGCACTATTCAAAATACATTTAGACATCAAATTTTTGCAGCAAGGCTATAAGATAGGAAATGTTATTTCTCCTATGTTACTAGTTAAGAAATTAAAATTCAGAAGTGAGATAACATGTTCAAGATCACACGGGGTAGCCAGGATGCCCAGTGTTAGAGTAGTGGATAAAGGATTTATTGTAATTAGGTAGAGGAGACCAAAGGAATTTCATGTCTGTGGTTTCGGTGGTAGTCTGGGTCACATGTGTGTCAGTGTCCCCAGAGCCTTCCGCAGGGGCTTCTGCCAGCAGAGCTAGAGCCTGGAACCTTGCGTTCAGGGAGGTTCTTCATCACTGGGAGCTGACTGGGATCTGGAAAACTGGGCTAGTTCACTGTATTGACTTTAACCATGGTTTCTTCACATCTTGTAGATGATGTTCTCCAAGCTCTAAGGAAGAAGTCAAGCAAGGATTGAGGGGGCCTGGAGGAGAAGCCTTTCTTAAATGACGACAATGACAAGAGAAAATTGGGCCCACAGTGCTCTGAGACAAGAGGGTCTGGTTAAAGGGAAGGATGATACCTGGAAGTGGGGAACCAGCTTCCAAGGGAGCAGCTCCTCTGTTTGGGAGACCTCCCACCAGCACTTTAGACAGTTACGTTACCATGAGACATCTGGACCCCAGGAGGCGCTGAGCCGGCTCCGGGAGCTCTGTCGCCGGTGGCTGAGGCCAGAAGCACGCACCAAGGCCCAGATCTTGGAGCTGCTGGTGCTGGAACAATTCCTGAGCATCCTGCCTGGGGAGATTCGGACCTGGGTGCAGATCCATCGCCCCGGAAGTGGTGAGGAGGCCGTGGCCCTGGTAGAGGAGCTGCAGAGAGACCTGGACAGACCGGCACTAAAAGTGAGAAAGGGGCAGCTGGAAGAGTTTGGGAGGCAAGAGAACTGAGGCAGGGCAGGCTGGGCTGCAGCGTGATGCTGTGATTTTCACTAACAGTTAATAGCACATTAGCAACTCTAATGCTAATTAAAACAGGTTCATGAGCTATTCAGACCATAGAGTGTCTTTTCAGGGCAGTGAATTTATGGTTGGGGTCTTGGGCCCAGTTCAGAATCAGCACAAAGGTATTGACTGCCCTGTGTCCCCTGGGTGGTGCTTTCTAGTGCTGAGTTTGGTTCAAGACCCTGAAAAACATAATGTTTCTCAGCATTCCCCTAAACAGAAGCATATGTATTGTTTGTATAAGTCTGTGGGGAATGATGATGTAAGCCTGAAGTGTAAAAGGCGGTGACAACAAGAATGAAATTTTCTAGATCTGACGAGACCTCTCCATGTGTGTCCCTACTTGGGGTTCTGTGAGCCACGGGATTGGGTTGAGGTATTTGCTTTTGATAAGATTTTATATCCTTGACCGTTAAATTGGGATGTTAATATAGTTTCTAGCATGTGTGAGACCTCTGTCAGTCTGTGGCACGCTAGAAACATTTCTATTAGAAGTCTGAAATACAACTTAAATTTGGGAGTGGCACCAAGGATGGGCTTGTTCGTTTTAATCATAAAAATGAAGAATTTGAGAGCTATATATTTCATTACAAATCACTAATCCATCCTCTTATTTGAGAGATAAGTGAACGGAGACAGGAAAGGGTTCTCTGAATTGCCTGAGGTCAGACATCTGTCCAGCAGCAAAACCAAGTGTCTAGACTCCAAGCTCTAGTGTCCCTCCAGTTGGAGCAGGATGGGATAAGTAAAGGGGCACATAAGTAGAAGAGCGTACTGAATCTAGGTCTCATCTAAAACTACAATAAGTCTGAAACTAAAACACATGCTCTTAATTATCGCTTGTTACTTCCATTCCCTCCTTACCCCGCGCCCAGGTCTGGCTTGTTTGCACCGATCTGTTCAGTCTTCTCTGGGAGAGGTCACCAGTGCCATGAGTGGGGCTAGAGGGCAGCTCCATTGTTGTCAAGGTGGAGTTTCACTGCTGTGTTGATGCTCCGTACTTGAGGTGGGTCTCTCTGACCTCACAGTTGTAGATTATGGGCAGAAAGAGGTCCACAGTGGTTAGGTGAGTCCATTTTCTAGAGGTACAAGAAGAGCCAGCTTATTTCGTTTTGCTTGTTCCCAGGTTCCGGTCCTTGCCCAGGACCCTGTCCAGGAGGAGCTGAGCACTCGAGGAACGGCGCTTCCTCAGGCACCCACTGGGAGCCACATACCAGCTGAAAGGTGCCCCCATCCTCTTACTGACCCCGTGGTGTTCAGCCTCCAGGACCCTCACCATGGTACTTGTTCAGTGGCCCTGGCTTTGGACTTCCTTTCTGTGGACCTGGGCTGTGGCTCATCCCCCTACTCCTAGAGAGTTGCTTCCTTTTCTGCCCTCTCCGTGAATTTTATGGTACCAAGCCCTTCCTGTTGTTCCCCCTTTTCTCCTTTCCTGGGTCCCCTGACCGTTGATCCCTTCTCATTAATGCTCTTTGTGTTAGTCCCGCCCTGCACGTGGGGGTCACTCATAAAAGGTCTGTAGGTCATTTTGTAGCCACCATTGCCTAGTCATGAGAGCTCTGGGTCTTTCTGAGTTCCTTGTTTGTAGAAGACACTGGACTTGGAGTGGTGGGCAGGAACAGCAGAAATCTCACATGCAGCTGTGCCTCCTTCCGCAGGTTCTCCTGCCCCGGAAGCTTCCGCCCTTTCCCAGGAAGAGAACCCAAGAAATCAATTAATGGCACTCATGCTCCTAACAGCCCAGCCCCAGGTGAGGTTTGCATCCTTTTTCCTTCCTAAGACCCTACCTGTACCACCTAATGGTGGCTGAAGTGCTAGTGCTTGGGTGTCCAGCCGGTTCCCATCTGTAAACCAAGGTCCATGCTATTAGAAGGCAGATTTTACATGGGGTCTCCTTCTGTCTCCCTGATAGGCCTTGCCCACCCCGTGGCCTCACCATGTATTCCTGCCCTGGAAGTGAAAGGAACCTCTCAGTAGGGGAGCCCCTGGGCGTGGACACTCTCACACATACCTGTTATTTCAGGAGCTGGTGATGTTTGAGGAGGTATCAGTATGCTTCACTTCAGAGGAATGGGCATGTCTGGGCCCAATTCAGAGGGCCTTGTACTGGGATGTGATGCTGGAGAATTACGGAAATGTCACCTCTCTAGGTAAGGACCCTTTCTTCCCGTAATTCTGCCCTTTATTTCACCAGTCTTTGTTTATTTTCCGAGTATGAGAGTAACGTATACTTATTTTGGAAAACAATATTAGAAAGAAGGAAAAAAACTTCCTTATACCCACTATTTGTAGACAACTACCAACAACATTTTGATATATTACCTTTCTGTTTTTTTCTGTGTATTTGAGGTCCTTTTTACCTTGTTTGAGTGTGTGTGTGTGTGTGTGTGTGTGTGTGTACACAGTTTTATAGCTTGCCTTCCTTACATTCTCTTCACTCTTGTATTATTACAAATGCTTTGCAAAGATTATATATATTGGCTACATAATTTGTGCCATAATTCACAGTTAGCCATTTTCTTATTTTAAATGTTTGCTATAATAATCATCTATCTCTATGCCTTAGGCCTTTCTTTATTTCTCATTATTATTTTTTTGAAGCACATTTACTAGGCCTAAGCGTTTGAATTGTTTTAAGGCTCTTGCTTTGTTCTGCCAAAATGGCTTTCCACAGGAACCCCTGCCCTCGGTGCTCTTACCTTTGGTACAGAAGAATGCTCTTTCTGCTCTGTTTTCATTGATATTGAGGAATCCTATTCTTTTCAGTTTTTGCTAATATAATTTTTAAAGTTATACCTATTTATTTCTAAGTTGATTTCTTTGATTAGTAATATAGTAAGAGTATTTAAAAAATTGACTAGCTATTTGTGCTTCCAACAAACGTTAAATACCTATCATGTGGTGGCAGCTGTGGGAATGACGTGATCCTGTTATTAAGTAGTTTACCATGGTTTGGGAGATGGACATAGAATAAATAAGTCAGAGTGAAATAATTGGCATGAGAATGGCGTGAGCTTCTTGAGATGGACATGGAGAGGACAAAGCAACCAGCTCCATTCCTGGGGATTAGGAAAGGCTAAAAGCTTGGTGCTGGACCTTAAAGAAAAAATGTAGGATTTTGTTTGGAGAAATAGAATTAAAAACTGAGGAATCAGCTAATGGACTGATGTAATTTGGACTGAAATACAGATTTGTAGTATCAGTTTAAATGGCTGTATAGTATCCCATTGTCTGGATATCATGTTTTTCATCGACAGGTTTATGATATTGAATTCCTATTCAAGAACATTACATGCCATTCCATTTGTTTAGTACTGCTGTTGTATGTTTCAAACCTGTTTTAAGGTTACATTCACCTAGATCTTATATATTTCTGGTGACATTGATTCTTTGGAATCGGAATATTTTCTGATGTTTTCTAATTGACTGTTGTTTGCATATATGAAAATATTTTTGTATGTTAATTTTGTACCCAGCAACATTAATAAATTATTTTATTGTCTATAGTAATTTATACTGTATACTTGTATTTATGAGAATGTATCTTTTAGTATCCTAGCTGTAGCGATGGTGAGTCAAACATCCTGTAGATTTTATATTTTGATACGTATTACCAAACTGCTTTCTATCAATGATGGACCAATTTATTCTCCCATTAAAAGAACATACACACAAAAAATAAAAATTAAAAAAACGGAAAAAAATAGAAGGAAAAAAATGCAAAAAGAACAAAAATGAAAAAAACAACAACAAAAAAACGATAAGAGGGTCCATTTCCCCTGTAGGTGCTTATGATTTGGTCAATGTAAAATCTTTTCTAGGTAGATGAAGAATACTATCTTTTGTTTCTTTTTCATTTCTTTGATGAGTTGTGTGGTTGAAACCTTTTCATATCTACTGGTCATTTTATTCTTATTCGTGTCCTTCCTATGTATTTATTTATTAGAACTCTAATCTTTTGTCAAATGTTGCACATGTTTTCTTGCTTATTTGCCTTTCAGTGTTATTTATAAACTGTTATTTTTTAAGCCTTGGAAAATCTTTTATGTAGTCAAACCTAGCAGTTTTTTTCTTTATAATCTCCTTTTCCATAAATTATATTTTTAAAAAATCACCTGTATTTTCTTTAAATACTTTTATTGTTTCATATTTACATTTAAGCTTTAATCTATCTAAAGTTTATCTTGATACACAGAATGGCCTAGGAATCCAGTTTGTTTGCTTGTTTTTTAATCCAAGTGGCTTTAAGTAGTTGAGTGCTATTTACTCAATAATCCACCTTTATAAGAATTTTAAAATATGATTAATTTTATGAAAAACACTTGCTGTGGATACATACCTTCTGATGTAAGCCAAAATAATTCCAGATGGGTGTAAGAGTTAAATTTTTAAAAACAGAAATGGAATTGTTTATTCATTCTAGCTTTTTGAGGAAAAACAAGTTTGAATCAACTTTAGTAAAATATGCTCTAACTGCAACGTTGTTGGGGCTTTGGACACACAGATATCCAGGTATTTACACCCTTTGACCTAGTAATTCATAGTGCATTTCTTAAGGAAAAGTTCAGAAAGAGGGTAAATAGAAAGGTCTAAAGATAGCCCTAGCAGAGTATTTATAGTGGTTAAAAGCGTGGACCTGAGGATATGCTATGACAGCTTTCAAGTATGACAACTCTGTGCATTCCATTTCTATGCACTGATCAACTGGTAGAAAAGCAGGCTTCCAGATGGCTTATACACACTTCTTCAATATGTGGAAGACTTGTATATTTTCATTTAAGAGACTGGAATAGAATTTTGCCTTAACGTACATTCACGTTGGAGTGTTAGACATTTACACTAATAAATACAATACAGTGTGGCAAATGCTGTATAATAAAAGTCCTATTAGGAACTTGAGATGGTGGAAGTACTGAGAGAGTGGGGGGAGGGGTGGGTGGTTCAGGGAAAGATTTACAGAGGGGGTGACTTTTTTTTTTTTTTTTTTTTTTTAGCTGAGCCATCCCGCCACCTGTTGGCAGCTCACGGCTGCTCAGCTCGGGCTGACTCGAACTGCTGNTCACGGCTGCTCAGCTCGGGCTGACTCGAACTGCTGTTGCTCAGAGCTCAAACTCTTGAGCGAGCTCTTAACCAACTGAGCCACTCAGCCGGCCCGGGGTGACTTTTTTTAATAACAGCTTTATTGAGCTATAATTCACATACCATGCAATTCACCCATTTAAAGGGAACTGTTTAGTAGTTATTAGCATATTCACAGAGTAACCATCACCGCACACAATTTTAGAACATTTTCATCACCCCGAAGAGAAAGCTTGTACCCTTTAGCAGTCATCCTCATTCACACAGCTCCACCCACCAACCTAGCCCTAAGCAACCATTAGTCTGCTTTCTGTCTCTCTAGATTTGCCTGTTCTGGACGTTTCATATAAATGGACTCATATAATATGTGGTCTTTAGTGACTGAATTCTTTTACTTAGCATAAAGATTCCTCCATGTTGTATCATATATTAATACTTCATTCCTTTTTAGGGGCACATAATATTCCTTTGTATGGATGTATCACATTTTATTGATCCATTTGTTTGGGCTGTTATGAATAATGCTGCTATGAACATTTCTGTACAAGTTTTTATGTATACATATGTTTTTATTTCTCTTGGATGTAAATCTAGGAATGGACTTACTTGGTTATATGGTAACTCTTATGTTTAAATGTTTGAGGAACTGACAGACTGTTTTCCAAAGTTGCTGCACCATTGTACACTCTCACCAATGGTGTGTATGGTTTCCGATTTCCCCAAATCTTCGCCAACATGTTATTATCTTTCTGATTATAGACATTCTAGTGGGTCTGAATGATATCTTATTGTGGTTTTGATTTGCATTTTTCTGATAGCTAGTGATGTTAAGCAACTTTTCATGTGCTTATTGGCTATTTGTATGTCTTTGAAGAAATGCCTATTCAGATTCTTTGCATATATTTTAATTGGGTTATTTGTCTTTTTATTACTGAATTGTAGGCATTCTTTATATATTCTGTATACAAGTACTATATCAGATATATGACTTTCAAGTATTTTCTCCCTTTCAATGGGTTGTCTTTTCATTTTCTCAGTGGTATCCTTTGAAGTACAAAAGTTACTAATTTTGGTGAATTCCAATTTTTTTTTGTTTTTGGTTGTATATGTCATATCTAAGAAACCATTGCCTAATCCAAGGTCATGATGTTTGATATGTTTTCTTCAAAGAATTGTATAGTTTTAGCTCTTACATTTAGGTCTTTGACCCATTTTGAGTTAATTTTTGTTTATGGTATGAGGTAAGGGCCCAACTTTATTATTTTATTTAAAGATTTTATTGGGGTATTGGGGGAGGGGAACAGCGGTGGGGAATCAGGGAAGGGGAACAGACAAGTTACTGTCCTTTTGTTCTTTAGTCTAGTTGTGGAGGACGTCGCTTCACTGGCCCATGTTGGTATTATCATTGCGCTCCTCCCGGGCGAGGCAGATCAGTCGCCAGCCACCCGACGGCCGCTCACAGCGGCTCATGGCAGCTCACTCCAGCTGCCGGCCGCTCATGCTAGCTTATGGCAGCCTACTGCAGTAGGGGCTGCAGCCTACGCCGTCGCCAGTGACTAACGGCAACCCAGCTTCAGGTCGAGCTGTTGTTCACCATCTTAGCTGTAGAGGGCGCAGTGTCACTGGCTCACGTGGGATCTAAACCAGGGCCCTGCTGCTCAGAGTTGGCGTCCCAAGCCAGCTGTTAACCAACGTGCTACTCTGCCGGCCCCCAACTTTATCCTTTTGCATGTGGGTATTCAGTGATCCCAGCAACATTCTTTGCCTATTTGGTTATTTTGACACCCTCTTGAAAATCAATTAACCATAAATATGAGAGTTTATTTCTGGGCTCTCAATTCTATTCCTTTGATTATATGCCTATCCTTATTTCAGTGTTACTGTGTCTTGCTACTGTTGCTTCATAGTACAAATTGAAATCTGGAAATGAGAGTCCTCCAACAATGTTCTTCTTTTTCAAGATTGTTTTAGCTACTCTAGGTCTCTTGAATTTCTGTTTGAATTTTAGGATCAACTTGACAATTTCAGTGAAGGAGCCAGCTGGGATTTTGATAAGAATTTAAGAATTGCATTGAACTTGCAGATCAATATGAGGAGTATTTCCATTTTAACAATATTAAGTCTTCCAATCCATGAATCCATCTATCCCAATCTATGGGATGTCTTTCCATTTATTTAGTCTTTAATTTCTTTCAACAATGTCTTTTATTCTTTTTAATTCTATTATTTCTTAATATCCCTTTTGGATTCTTCACTGCTAATGTATAGAAATACCACTGATTTTTGTTTATTGATTTTGTAACTTGCAACCTTGCTGAACTTACTTAGTTCTGATAGTTTTTTGATCGATTTTTTTTATGATCTATGTATAAGATCTTGTCATTTGTAAATAGAAATAGTTTTACTTATTCCTTTTCAATCTCGATGCGTTTTATGTCTTTCTCTTGCCTAATTGCCCAGGCTAGAAGCTCTAGTACTTGTTGCATAGAAGTGACAAGAGCAGACACCCTTTTCTCATTCCTGCTCTTAAAGGGAAAACATTCAGTCATTCACTAGTAAGTATGACATTAGCTTTGGATTTTTTGTAGGTGTCCTTCCTTTATCAGGTTGAGGAAGTTCCCTTCTATTCTTACTTTGTTGAGTCTTTTTATCATGAAAAGTATTTGGATTTTGCCAAATACTTTTTCTACATATTTTGAAATGATTATGTAATTTTTGTCCCTTATATTATTGATATGGTGTATTACATTAATTGATTATCTGATGTTACATTTGAATTCCTGTGATAAATCCCACTTGGTCATGGTGTATGATTTTTTATTTTATGTGTTGCTAGATTCAGTTAGCTAGTATTTTGATGAGGGTTTTATGTCTGTATTCATATGATATATTTGTACTTTTCTCTTTTTTGTGATACCTTTGTCTGGTTTTGGTATTGGGGTAGTACTGGCCTTATAGAATGAGTTGGGGGCCGGCCTAGTGGCTCAGTTGGTTAAGAGCTCGCTCAAGAGTTTGAGCTCTGAGCAACAGCGGTTGGAGTCCTGGCCCACCCCGAGCAGCCACTGAGCTGCCAACAGGTGGCAGGATGGCTCAGCTAAAAAAAAAAAAAAAAGAATGAATTGGGAAGTATTTCCACCTCTTCTATTTATTGGAAGAGATTGTGGAATTGGTATTAATTCTTTTAATGTTTGGTAGAATTCACCAGTGAAGCAACCTTAGCTTGTGCTTTTCTTTGTGGGTAGTTTTCTGATTACTGATTCAATTTCTTTACTTAGTATAGAACTATTCAGATTCTCTAGTTCTTCTTCTCCTCCTTCTCCTCCTCCTCCTCCTCCTTCTTCTTCTTCTTCTCCTTCTCCTTCTCCTTCTTCACTTCCTTCTTCTCCTTCTTCTCCTTCTTCTCCTTCTTCTCCTTCTTCTCCTTCTCCTTCTCCTTCTCCTTCTCCTTCTTCTCCTTCTTCTCCTTCTCCTTCTTCTCCTTCTCCTTCTTCATCTTCTTTTAAAGGAAGAAGTGTCTCTGTTAGTTTTCTTTCTTTTTTAAAGATTGGGGAATTGGGGAAGGGTAACAGCATTGGGGAATTGGAGAAGGGGAACAGCCAAGCTGTTGTCCCTCAGTCTTAGTTGTGGAGGGTGCAACTAGCTCAGCTCCAAGTCCAGTTGCTATCTGGCTGCCCATTGGCAGCCCAGGGCAGCTCAGCTCAAGGTGCCATGTTCAATCTCAGTTGCAGGCAGGCGTAGCCCATCATCCCATGCGGGGAGCAAACCGGCAACCTTGCTGCTAAGAGCATGTGCACTCACCATCTCAGCGGTAGCTCAGCTTGGGCGCAGCTCACTGGCCCACGTGGGAATCGAACCGACGACCCTCTTGCTCAGAGCTCATGCTCTTCACCAACTGAGCCACTTGGCCAGCCCTTCTATTTCTTCTTGAGTCAGTTTTAGTAGTTTGTGTCTTTCTAGGAATTTGCCTATTTTGTCTTAAGTTGTCCAATTTATTACCATGGAATCATTTATAGTATTTCCTAGAGTCCTTTTTATTTCTGTAAGGTCAATGGTAATGTCCAGAGGGGGTAACTTTTGTGCTTACTTTTTAAGGGTGTCTGTATAGGGCATATAGTGAGTTGGGAAGAGGAAGAGAAATTCAGGAAGAGAAAAGGCCCTGGGCAGTGATAGAGAAGCAAGTGAAAACATGACATGTTTGGCTACCTGCATGTAATTCTCTGTGGCTAGTGTCCAGGGGCACAAAGGGTACTGAAAAGAAGTGAAACCAGAAAAATATGTTTCTTGCAGGTTTCAATAAACATTGCAGAAAGTAACCAGCTTCTTCCTAGCATTCTGACAGGCCCATATGTAATCTGATTCCTATAGTAAAATTTCAGATAATTTAACCCCTTTATTAGCTACAGTGTATACAAGAGTTGCTAATTTCTTAGTTATTTTCCAACTCAGTTTAACCACTTGCAACACTTCTACTTCTTTAAAGCACTTGTACTTCCTTAAAAGAAGAGAACCCTCCTTTCCACCAGCATCCTGCTTTAAACTGTGAAACAGTCCTTGACCCAATCACTGTGGTCAAGGAGACTAAAGTAAACTGGATTGTCCTAGGACACATGCCCATCCGCACAGGCAAGGGAAGTAGGGTAGTATGATTGATAGCCCTGCCCGAATCCCAGAAAGAGGGGCAGTTGAGATGAGATATGAGGGCCTGACCTAAGAATGCAGTTCAAATTAACATTAATTAGATGTTTTCCATCTGCACCCTCTCATTAGCTTAATGAAACGTCTTTAAGCTTTATCTCATTATTACTTTATCTCATTTCATAATGAAAAAATTCACTCCTTTTCTCTGTCTTTTCTATTTATTTATTTATTTATTTATTTATTTATTAGCTGAGCCATCCTGCTACCTATTGGCAGCTTAATGGCAGCTCAGCTCAGGCCGGGCATCGAACTGCTGTTGCGCAGAGCCCAAACTCTTGAGGGAGCTCTTAACCAACTGAGCCACTCAGCCGGCCCCACTTTTCTCTCTGCTTAGATAGGAGAATAGTGTTGTGGTAGAAGACAATGTTACTATTACTGACATACTTTCATTTATTAGATAGTTTGGGGAACTAGTTAACAATTTTTCTCACATTTAGATGGCGATAGTAAGCTTCCAAAACATTTCCAAAAAAATGATTTCACATTTAAAAAATTTTGAGAATGTGAGAGTAGAAATGGACCTTGGAGGTTAACTAGTTAAGCCTTATTATTTTTTAGATGTTTTCATGTTTTTTAATCTCTATATTTTTTGTTTTCATTCTATATTTCTTTTCTTACCTTTTAGGTCTAATTAAGTGATGGAATCACCTAGGCCTGATGTTTTTGTGAAATGAATTTTAAAATTTCCATTTCTCAATTTTTAAAAGGAATAGTAGGAGTTATAGATGAATTCTAAGCATTAAGTTGCTTTTTAATGGATTTTATTCCTGTAGCTTGATGCTTTTAAGTAATTAAAAAGTGTTTATGTACTTGACTCTTCAAAATTAAATAGTGCCTTTCAAAGTCTTCAGGCTCATTTTCTTTCTTTTAGAGTTCCCTTTTTCCTAGCATGAATAAAATAAAAAGACAGTGCTTTCTAAGTCAAATGATTCTTCATGTTCCATCCAGCTTCCTGAGCCTCAGGTCTGAACCACCGATATAAAATCCTGTGTTTTCTTTCTCCTTCCTTGCATCTTTTTTTTCCAACATCATTTATATATTTCCATCTGCTCACTGAAGACAAAGAGATTATAAGTGTCTCATAGTGAGTCTGTTAATCCACGTGCAACATTCCATCCGTGTAGCATTTTGCTTTGTACCTTCATTTCATGAACAGTTTCTTCCTTTTGTATGCATATTAAAGCGTATCCTTCGAGCTTGTTTTAAAATCATTTGAAGATCTTGCTCTCACTAACATGGGGACTTGGTAACATTTGCATTTTTAATTCCTTTCACTAGAATGGGAGACCATGACTGAGAATGTGGAGGTGACATCAAAGTCAAGCATATCTCAAAGAGCAGATTCTCAGAAAGGAACATCAAAAAGACTTCAAGGAGGTATTCCCCAGGTGCTTGACTTTGAGAAAGAGCATGAATGGCAAGTTTTGGCAACTCAGTGGGGAAATGAAGCGAGGGAAAGAGAGGCCCTGAAGAAAGGTTCCCTCCATGAACGAGACAGGAAGAAAAGAACTCCACCAGAAAAACGAGGCCAAAAAGGGAAGGAAGTTGGAGAAGGCTTGACTTTAGGTTCATCTCTTTCTGAAAGTTTAATGGGTACTGAAGGAAAGAAGTTTTATAAATGTGATATATGTTGTAAACATTTCAATAAAATCTCCCATCTTATAAATCATCGGAGAATCCACACCGGTGAGAAACCTCATAAATGTAAGGAGTGTGGAAAAGGCTTTATTCAGCGTTCAAGTCTTCTAATGCACTTACGGAACCATTCTGGGGAGAAACCTTATAAATGTAACGAATGCGGGAAAGCCTTCTCTCAAAGTGCTTACCTTCTAAACCATCAGAGAATCCACACTGGGGAGAAACCTTATAAATGTAAGGAGTGTGGAAAGGGCTTCTATAGGCACTCAGGCCTTATTATCCATCTAAGGCGCCACTCTGGGGAGAGACCTTATAAATGTAATGAATGTGGGAAAGTTTTCTCTCAGAATGCTTACCTCATTGACCATCAGAGGCTCCACAAAGGGGAAGAACCTTATAAATGTAACAAGTGTCAGAAAGCTTTCATCCTGAAGAAGAGCCTCATTCTGCACCAGAGAATCCACTCTGGGGAAAAGCCCTATAAATGTGAGGAATGTGGGAAAACCTTTGCTCAGACCACTTACCTTGCTGACCACCAGCGACTCCACAGTTCAGAGAACCCATACAAATGTAAAGAATGTGGGAAAGTTTTCATTCGAAGCAAAAGCCTCCTCTTACACCAGAGAGTACACACAGAAAAGAAGACCTTTGGTTGTAAAAAATGTGGGAAGATTTTCAATTCTAAGTCAAACCTCATCGACCATAAGAGGATGCATAGCAGGGAGAAGCCTTATAAATGCACTGAATGTGGGAAAGCCTTCACTCAGAGTGCTTATCTTTTTGACCATCAGAGACTCCACAATGGGGAAAAGCCCTATGAATGTAATGAGTGTGGGAAAGTTTTCATTCTGAAGAAAAGCCTCATTTTACATCAGAGGTTCCACACTGGAGAGAATCTCTATGAATGTAAAGATTGTGGCAAAGTTTTTGGTTCTAACAGAAATCTCATTGACCACGAGAGACTCCACAATGGGGAGAAGCCCTATGAATGTCGTGAGTGTGGGAAAACTTTCATTATGAGCAAGAGTTTCATGGTCCATCAGAAACTTCACACACAGGAAAAAGCCTACAAATGTGAGGACTGTGGCAAGGCTTTCAGTTATAATTCAAGCCTGCTGGTACATCGGAGAATCCACACCGGGGAAAAGCCCTTTGAATGCGGTGAGTGTGGAAGAGCTTTCAGTTCTAACAGAAACCTCATTGAACATAAGAGAATCCACAGTGGCGAGAAACCCTATGAGTGTAATGAGTGTGGTAAATGCTTCATTCTGAAGAAAAGCCTCATTGGACATCAGAGGATTCACACAAGGGAAAAATCTTATAAATGCAGTGACTGTGGGAAAGTCTTCAGTTACCGCTCAAACCTTATAGCCCATCAGAGAATCCACACTGGTGAGAAGCCCTATGCTTGTAACGAATGTGGGAAAGGCTTCACTTATAACAGGAACCTCATTGAACATCAAAGAATTCACAGTGGGGAAAAAACCTACGAATGTCATATTTGTAGAAAAGTCCTCACCTCTAGTAGAAATCTTATGGTACATCAGAGAATCCACACTGGAGAGAAACCTTATAAATGTAATGAGTGTGGAAAAGACTTTAGTCAGAATAAAAACCTTGTTGTACATCAGAGAATGCACACTGGGGAAAAACCATATGAGTGTGACAAGTGTAGAAAGTCTTTTACTTCTAAGAGGAATTTAGTTGGCCACCAGAGAATCCACACAGGGGAGAAACCATATGGCTGTAATGATTGTAGTAAAGTTTTTAGGCAAAGAAAAAACCTTACTGTACATCAGAAAATTCATACAGATGAAAAATTCTGTGAATATGATGAGTCTGATAAAGAATTCTCTCAGACGTCAAACCTTCATCTTCAACAAAAAATCCATACCATGGAGGAATTCTCTTGGCTTCAAAGTGCCAGTGAGCCCAATATAGAGATTCAGAAAATCTAGTATCATATGTAAAATTGGAATAGAATTCCTGCCTAGTTAAGTAACTGTTGGAGAAATGCAATATATGGTTCTTATAAGGAAAAAAATTCTTGATTGCCCCTTTTATAGACAAGTGAATTGAATGTGGGAGACAGTTAATCTAGACTTTCAAGACTCAAAAACAAACCAAATTCTTGTTAAAGGGCACTCTGTTTTAAACCATTTGTTATGACGTAGAAAGAGACCTTGGTGCAATTGAGGACTCAAAAGAGACTGGGTTTATGTCTTATAAGATGCAATCATGCAGTTGTAAACAATAGAAAAAATACTTTTTTTAAAAAGCGGGAGTTGTTTCTAAAAGTGTGTATATTGTACACTTGAAAGCCAACATCACTGCTGCAGAAAGTCTATATAGACAGTAAGATTGAGACATGTCAGACATGGAGCTGGGTGGGCAAGAATCTGCTGTTTGAGGACCACTTAGGAAGAGTTTGGACTTGGAATCAGAGGACCTAGGTTTCAATCCTGGCTCTTTCTCTTACTAGCTATGTGATGTTATTAACTCAGCCTCTAAGCCTCAGTTTCTCCGTCAGTCAAATGTTGACTTAATGCCTACCTCAAAGGACTGTTATGAGGATTAAATGAAAGGATCTTTGTGAAAGTACTTTATGAAATAATTTAGTTGTCAATAAAGTTGGATAAAAGAGGTATAGTCAAAAGCTAGAACATGGTATAATGTAATGTTTGTTCATTAAGTCAATATTAGGACTCTGTGAACCTCAAAAGGTATTCATTTTTATAGTAAGAGGAAGTATGGTGGATAGCTAACTTTGCAATTTAGCACTCTAAGACGATTTTTTCAAAATATAGCTTTAAAAATGCTTAAGGGAGTTAATAGATAACATGCCTGTTTTGTTTGTATGTAAAAATATTGGCTTATTATGGGAAATTATATGCCCAGCCCTTAACACCAATACATGGAAAACAATTTATCAACCTTCGAATTTAAAACCTAGTGGATGGTAGAGTGTCAAAATGGAAGGACAGTCCTCTGTTGTTTTCCTTGTTCATAGGGAAAAGTCCTTACCCCATCCCCTGAGCTGATTATCCCTGCCACTGTCATTCTCAGTTCTAATCAACATTGCTTCATTGCTGACATGCGACAGCTTGTTATTCAAAAAACAACATTCTGTCCCAGCACTCAACTACATACATTTTTCACACAGAGCCAAGCCCTTCAAACTCTGATTAAACTATTGGGTTGTCGGGAAAGTCATGACGCATTTTTGCAACGAAAAACAGAAAAACACGTCATGACTTTTCCGACGACCTAATAATTCAGTATCCACCCCTGGGCAGTCAGGCCCATTACCATTACTCGCTCTAAACCAATCATTCATTAAGCGTGTGCCCTTTTGTACATTTGTAAGTTTAATTCATCCTATTTTCTTGAGTTGATAATTTTATGTTGTAATTCTCAAAACTCCAATTCTGCAGCTAGGCTATAAATACCTTAATGTCAGGATTGTGTTTTTTTATAGTGGTAGTGTTGAAGTGTTATGTTGATTATAATAACTATTATTAATTCAACCCCAAAGTTCCTTGAGGGCTGGTTCCTCTTTAGAATAAAAGGTAGCCAAGAGTGAAAAATGGAAGGGGCCCAAGGTTAAAAGTGCTAGGACCTGAGTGTGAGTCAGGTGTTGAACATTCCTTGGACAAAGGCCTTCATTTCTTGGAGCCTTGGTTTCCTCATCTGTTAAACAGGAGGAAGAATATCTACCTCGCAAAGTTGTTATGAGGTCATGAATGTGAAAATGCTTTATATCCATGCTGTAGAAGAATCACCCTGGATTATGTAATAATTACAAAGGGAAAGATGTACTTTAACAATGGTGAAGGCTGGCATTTACCTCTTAGCCAACTAAAATGCAACACCACCAAGACTGAGAAACCCACATAGTGAGTCTCCTCGTGATGCAATAAGACAAAAGCATAACCTGAATTTATCAAGCTTCTTGGGCCTGATTGCCAGTTTATAGGAAATACAGGAGGCACAAGAACAAGACAGATGACACCATGAGAAACAAATTCAGAACGTGAGATAATGTGTAAGAAGACTGCACTGGATTCTTCAAAAAGATGATGAAAAAGGGAGGGGTGATAATCGTTGAAGCTGGAGGAGTCTTGAGGGTTCACTGTACTGTTCTCTGCTTTTGTACAAACTTGTGAGATTTTTCATAGTGAGAGGAATAAAAAGTAGATGAGATTGTTTTTAAAAGTTAAGAAAGAGCCATAAGATAGTAAGCCAGAAATAGATTCACACAAATGCCCAATTGATTTTTGACAAAGGTGCAAAAGTAATTCAGTAGAGGAGGGATAGCCTTTTCAGAAAAGGCTGCTGGAGCAATTAGATGTCCATAGGCAAAAAAATAAATTTTGGGAACTAAGACCAAGTGAAGAACTCTTTACATCAAAAGCATGCTCCATAAAAGGAAAAAATGATAAATTGGATCTCATCAAAATAATTTGCTCTTCAAAAGACTCTCCAGAGGATGAAAAGACATTACATACTGGGAGAAAATATTTAGAAATCGTGTATCCAATACAGGATTTGTATCTAAATTATATAAAGAATTCTCAAAACTTAATAAATAGGTTTAATTAGAAAATGGGCAAAAGACACAAACAGGCATTTCACCAAAGTATAGACAGCAAATAAACAAATGAAAAGATGTTCAACATCATTATCCATTAGGGAAATGCAAGTTTCCTGTCAGACTACCTTAAAACAAAGAAATAAAAAACAGTGTTAACACCAAGTGCTGGCAAGAATGTGGAGAAACTGGATCTCATGTTGCCAGGAATGTTAAGTGGCACAGCCATTTTGAGAAATAGCTTGGCAGTTTCTTCTAAATCCCAGTATTTGCACTCCTGAGCATTTATCCCAGAAACAAAAACTTATGTTCACAGGAAAGGAACCTGTACATGACTATTCATAGCAGTTTTATTCGTAATCAAAATCTGTAGGTAATGCAAATATCCTTCGGCAGGTGGTTAAAACAAACTGGTATATCTATACGATGGAATGCTTATTATTCTGTAATAAAGTGGAATAATCTATCACTACCTGCAGTGACTCGAGTGAATTTCAAGAGAATTATGCTGAGTGAAAAAAATCCAATCTCAAAAGGTCATTTCTATATGATTCCATTTCTATCATGTTTAATGTTCTGAAATGTCAAAAAAACTATAGACATGAGAAACAGTTGCCAGAGGTTGGGGATGGTGGGAGGGAGCAGGGGAAGAGGGAGGGGTAGCACTAGGGAGACCTTCGTGGTGTCGGAACAGTTGTGTATCTTTTGATTGTGGTGGTTACACAAATCTACACGTGATAGAAAATAGAAGCACACACACATTGTACCAATGTGGATTTCCTGATTTTTATATCAAACTATAGTTATGTGATGTACCTGTTGGGGGAAACTAGGTGAAGGGTATTATCTTTTCAACTTGCTGTGAACCTATAAATTCAAAATAAAAAGTGGGGGGAAAAAAAAAAAGACTAGAGAGCCATAACCAGATGCAGTGTGTGAAACTGATTTGGAAAAACAAAATTATGAAATATATATGTTAGGACAGTTGGGAAAATTTGAATATGACTGGCTATTAGGTGATATTAGGGAATTAATCATGGTGTTAGTTTGGAGGACATTCTTATTAAATGATAAATAATGAAGTATTTGGAATGAAGTGTTTTGATGTTTACAACTTAAAAAAAAATGTTTTCCAGTATGTATAGTATAAGGCAAACGTAGCAAAGTGTTGGTTGTTGAGTCCAGATAGAGGATACAGGTATTCATTGTACCTTTCAGACTTTCCTGTACCGTTTGATATTTTCAAAATAAAACGTTTGGAGCAAAATTAACAGGGCTTTCTGCAGATTAATGCATTGTAGCTTCAGGCTCCCGCGTGCGCGCCTTGCTTAACTGCCCCTGCCCAGCCTGGGAATGCCCCGCTCCCCGCGCCTCAGGGCCACAAGGCCGCCGGCATCCGGCTAAGCGTTTTTTCTCCCGTCCCTGGTCCGGAGCGATGTTGGACACCCATCGAGAGGAAAACACCTCCGAGATTCCTAGAGAGGCCGGCCTGGAGACTTGGGGAGCCGGAAGCCCATCCCGAGGCACTTCCTGTCCGGTCATTGTTCTCGCGCCGGCAGGCGCAGGGGTCCCGGCCTGCGGGCCTTCTGCTCCGAAGCCCGCGAGCTGCGGCCGGGCCTCTGCGGCGCGCGGTGAGCGAGCGGGGTTGGCGGGCTTGGTTGCGAACGTCCGTGGCGCGGGAGGGCCCATCCCAGGGTCGGGCGGGCGCGCCCTCCCTTCGGGGACCCCAGCCTTGTCTGTCCCAGGGTGGCTCCGCGCCCCACCACCTCGGAAACCCGGCTGTCGCCCACCGGGGGCCTGGCCTGGTGGAGGCTGGACACGAACCTCCCCAGAGGCCAGGCGTACCCGGAGAACAGGACTGCTTGGGCCCTGGAGGCCGATGAGATGGGTTGCCACGTTTGGGAATACGGAAAGGACATTGCAAGGGAAGTCCTTGATAGGGGACTCGGTGGCGTCTGGGGCTGGAGGCCGATTTGAGTTTGATCAGCCGTCTGATGACAGGACAGGAGCCAATCTTGCGTAGACACAGGTGAAACGAGTGTTACGGGCCTTCCTACCTGGTAGAATTCGGCTAGTCAAGGAGAGAACAATCCTCCAGAAATAAAATTGGTGCAGGAACGAAAGTATTGCATTACTCAAGAAATTTCAGTGTATGAGCTACAGTAACTTGCCAGTAAGTT